GACCAGGATGGTCTCGATCTCTTGACCTTGTGATCCACCCGCCTCGGCCTCCCAAAGTGCTGGGATTACAGGCTTGAGCCACCGCGCCCGGCCCCAAGATAAAACTTTTAAACATCAAACATTAAAATATCTCACCTCTTTTTTTAACCTTTGGTTATCTCTGAAATAATGACTCTCCTCTTTCAGTCCCCCACTACAGAACTCTTTTTTTTTGAGACAGAGTCTCGCTGTGTCGCCCAGGCTGGAGTGCAGTGGTGTGATCTTGGCTCACTGCAACCTCCGCCTCCCAGGTTCAAGCGTTTCTTCTGCCTAAGCCTCCTGAGTAGTTGGGACTACAGGCGCATGGCACCATGCCCGGCTATATTTTGTATTTTTAGTAGAGACAGGGTTTCTCCATGTTGGTCAGGCAGGTCTCGAACTCCTGACCCCATGATTTGCTTGCCTCAGCCTCCCAAAGTGCTGGGATTACAGGCATGAGCCACCATGCCTGGCCAGAACTTGCATTTTCTAACACTTCATTACCAAGGCAGCTAGACACAAGATTATTGAAACTGTTTCAGTAATTCAAGTAAATAATAAGTGATGCAATTATTCTGGTTCTTTTTTCTTTCCAACATTCCAAATTTTGAAGTTAAGATATGTTAGAAACTTTAAAAGAAAAGCTTTATATCTCATCTAAATGCCAAATCTTCCAGAATCACAACTGATGCAAAATTGCAAGGATTAGTAATTTTATAAGCCAAGATACACCAGAGACTGCCAATAAACTACAGAATCCAGGAGAGAGATATGAAATAGATTCTCCCTCACCCTCCTAAGGAAACAACCCTGTTGATTCCTTGGTGTCAGACTTCTAGCCTCCAGTACTGGAATACAATAATTTTTGTTGTTTAAGCAAAATTTTCTGATTTTTTATGTTTTTTTTTTTTGAGACAGAGGTTCATTCTGTCACCCAGGCTGGAGTGCAGTGGCATGATCACGGCTCACTGCAGCCTGGAATTCCTGGGCTCAACTGATCCTCCTGCCTCAGCCTTCTGATTAGTTGGGACCACAGGTGTGCACACCCATGCCTGGCTAACTTTTTTTTTTGAAACAGAGTCTCACTCTGTCTCCTAGACTGGAGTGCAATGACATGATCTTGGCTCACTGCAACCTCCATCTCCTGGGTTCAAGCAATTTCCTGCCTCAGCCTCCGAGTACCTGGGATTACAGGCACATGCCACCATCCCCGACTAATTTTTGTATTTTTAGTAGAGACGATGTTTCTCTATGTTGGCCAAAATGGTCTCGAACTCCTGACCTCAAGTGATCCGCCTACCTCAGTCTCCCAAAGTCCTGGGATTACAGGCATGAGCCACCATGCCCTGCCGCCTAGCTAATTTTTTTAATTTAATTTTTATTTTTGTAGAGGCAGGGTCTCACTGCATTACCCAGGCTGGTCTCAACCTGCTGGCCTCAAGCAATCCTTCTGCCTTTGCCTCTCAACATGCTGGGATTACAGGCATATGCCACAGCACCTGGCCTCAAAAAAGAATTTTAAAGCCTTGCATCTTGGGCTGAAAGAAAGGCCACCTCTGATACTCCTGGGTTATATAAAAAATGACTACTGACAGTCATTGAAAGGAGAGTTGATTGGAAGTGATCTTTCTGTGAGTACCCAGAAACCGTCATTAAGGAACAATTCTAGTTTTTTTGCTGTTTTGTTTTGTTTTGAGATGGAATCTTGCTCTCGTCACCCAGGCTGGAGTGCAATGGCACAATCTCGGCTCACTGCAACCTCTGCCTCCTGGGTTCAAGTAATTCTGCCTCAGCCTCCCGAGTAGCTGGAATTACAGGTGCATGCTGTAGCAGGAGTGG